ATTACTGAAAGACTACTAAAGAGGGGGGATTCTTTGTTATGGGAGTTGTGCGTCAGAATGTTCGCCTCCTCTAGCTGCTGTTTGCTACAAACTAAGTTTCAAGGAAGAGCTAGACGTCCCTGAAGTGAAGCCAAGATCCGGGGTGGGAAGGAAAGTTTCCACAAATGCTTAGCCACACAAAGTATGTCGGCCAAATCCGATATATTCAACTGTCTCAGTGAATAATATTCACTAGAAGGTAGAGAGTATATGAAAATCAAATCATTCATTAGAGCTGTGTAAGTAGTATTGTATTTTTCTGTTGCATGCATGATGACATCATTGTATACATCTCAATTTTATTGTATTAGACAGCGCTTGAGTAGAATCTGTTGGCTACTAGCAATAGTAGTAAATTATTTAGTATCTCCTGTTTATATTAGATTTCCTAGAATTAATCTATATTTTGCAAACATATTCACAATAAATAAAGTGCAGATCTGCTTTGTCTCCATGCAGGTACTATGTAACTGCGGCCATCTCCGTCCCCGCAACAGAGCGGAGGCCGAGGCTCAAGTCACCTGACGTCAGGATCCGCACTGAATTTTGCAGCCGACAGAGGGGCTGATGGATCGCCAGTGACGATATTGGTGGATGGTCCAGGCGTGTGGTCTGCTTCCAACGTTCAAGCATAAATAGTCTAATTCAGTTTTACATTTTCCGAGCTTGACGGTCGACAAAGCCCATCCACTGCGTCATGCCGGAACCACTACCTCCTTTGGCACCGGTTCCACCCCCGGAGGTGCAGAGCACCGTACCACCCAACGAATGGGAGCTCTATATAGATGCGTGGATCTTGCTTCTGCAAGTACGCATTGAAGCTCCTGATTCACAATTCAAAGAAATTGCCGCCCACGATGAAACTGCCTTGACCTTCTTGACCTCCTTCTATCATCAATCTGCCACCAATGGCTCATCTAGCTTCCATGCCGGGCTTAAAGCGCGATCATTACGGAAGCTTTGCTTCTTGTTGACGAGGAGGTTCCTTCTGGATGCCTCTGCAACACCGTCTGAGCTGCTTGATGTACATGTCCTTGCGAACATGTGTTGCACCTACCCTTCGAGCGCTGCCATGAAGCGACTATTGTCTGATGCCTGGAACAAGCATCAAGATACAATAACATCCAGCCTTGAGAAGGCCAAGACGAAGATTATCAGAGAGCTTGCCTCGCTCAACCCCACGAAGTCTACGGCTATCCTCTCTGACATTCGCCTCTTGACTATTCTGGCGTCCGCACTCCCCGGTTGCGGCCAGGTGCTCATGACCGGATCTGACTTTCTGGACACATTCGCCGATGCATACCAAACACACAAACGAGCGGATATCCGCAGCGTCCTCGTAGCGAACGTCTACGTTGGTCTAGCATCGCTTCTGAAGGGCCCCAAGCTGAACCTCTCCGCGCTGCTGGACCAGCTATACAGTCTAAAATCCAGCGCTGGCGTCGGATCCTCAACAACGAAAAAGGAGCCCACCCTCCTATCCGACGTCATATGCAGTACAGACCTCCTAGTCCGTCTCGCCCGCCATCTCAGCACCCACCCCCAGAAACGAGGCCAAGACCTCCTCACCAGTCTACGAACCTATCAAGAAGAAACAAAGGTCTTCCACCGTCGGCATCAAAAACAAAAGAAGCGACTCCTCGACAAAGGCAAAGGCCGCGCTGCTACGGATCTCCCCGCACCCGAAGACATGCACATTCACCGCATGTCTTTGATCACTCAAGTCCAAGATCTTTTCCCCGACCTAGGCTCCGGCTACATCACCCGCTTGCTAGACCACTACAATGACGACCCCGAAACAATCGTCTCGCATCTCCTCGACGACTCCATCTCCTCTGAGCTTCGCACCCTCGACAAATCCGAACAACTTCCTACATCAACGTCAACCTCAACCATCCCACACGACCCTCTTCCACCCCGCCCAACACCACCACCCAGAGAGCCAACCCTCCCAACCCGCAAAAACATCTTTGACAACGACGTTGACCTTGCCGAACTATCTGACCAATCCACCCTCCACCACGGCCGCCGCACCAACACCACCCAAGCCGACGACCTCCTCGCCGACCGCACCCACCACTCCGCGAACAAAGCTGCTATCCTTACCGCCCTGGCCACCTTTGACTCCGACGACGACGAACGCGACGATACCTACGACATTGCCGACGTCGGCGGAACCATTGATGACACCACCACCGACGATGCCAAGGCCGCAGCAGAGCAACAACAAGAGGCAGAATTCTCCCTCTACCGCACATATAAATCTAATCCGGCCCTGTTTGCGCGCGACTCTGCCACAAGACGCTCACAGCCCCGCGCTTCGCTTAAGCGCGAAACCGGCATGACGGATGAAGCGATCGAGGGGTGGGCAGTCATGTTGTCGAGGGATCCGAAACGGATGGCTAGATTGGAGGATAAGATGGCTTTTGGTGCTGCTGATGGTGGAGGGTTGAATCAGCCTGAGTTGCCGGCTACGTCGTATCGGAGACCTGGTGCTGGAACGGAAGATGACGAGAGTGAGGCAGGTGGGAGCAGCAGCTCAAGAGGAAGAGGTGGACGCGGACGCGGTGGGAGAGGTCGGGGACGTGGTGCAGGCCAGCAGGGTAGTACTCCTGGGAATAGTAACCCTGCTGTTACGCGGCAGAGGAAAGAGGAGAATAAAGCTAGTCGGGCGAATCATAATCGTCGACAGCAGCGAGCGAGGAAGGTTGCGAGGGCGGGGGGGATGATGGGGTAGTTAGTAGCGTGGACGGTAGTCCCAATAGTTAATGAGTTTACCGGAAATGATATAATGAAAGAATGAAAGAATTACTTGCTTTAGGCATTAACCGGGCGCTTACTCATGGAAAGTACTGTGAAAAGTGGCATGTCTAAACACCTGTAAGTATCTCCGCCTAGCATGGGTTACTATTTATCTGTGTTTCTATATTCGAATAGATCTATGTCAAATGTATTTTCGCTTGACTACTCCATTACTTGTTAGTATAATGCTGGCTTGTACATCATGGGTTGAAGCATTGTTGTATTCATGTCATAGACATACTAACAGAAGAAAAATCGAGTGGCTTTCGCCGCAACCCGACCTTCTGAGAGGCGACAACCTCAGAACCTAAAGCAACACCGGTGTCAGATTGGGCAAGGCGTCGTCCTTGAAAGGATTTATTCACCAATAAAGACTATTGGGGATTATCACAGGACTTGCTATCATCAACAGGGCGTGTCTAGATCGAGTAGATTTCCTGAAACGCATACCGGCATTTCCGAAAGAGGAAATCCACCCGCTCCTGCAGCGGCATCGACCAAAAGGGTAATACACAGCTGAAGCTTTAGTATTGCCATTGTTTAGATATAAGTGACTACTTCCAGCCAAATCTAGGATACGCAAAGTATAGTATCTACGAATATCGAAGATTTGCAATGGCAATAACTAGCCTCTTCCGAGCAGCATCTCCGCCTGAGAATGCGCCGACATACTTTGGTATCAGGTAACGGCGAGAATTTATACCCAACAAGGGTCGTTATACTGACGTGGAACAGGCTTGACAGTGATATAATATGGCTTCCTGGAGACTCATTATCAACAGGATACTGCCATGTTACAGGAAAGGTCGTGTTATGCCTCAGCCAACCACTCTGTGTCAAGGATGTCAAGCTGCACTTTGAAGGGCGGCGTTACATGAAGTACGACTATCACTCCTTCTGTGTGAATCAAACTAACAGATTATCTAAATAGCTGGCATAGTTTCTCCGAATCCCAGAGAGCTCATCATCACATGCCGTCCTTGGAGCGGGTATTCATGTATCAAACCTGGAACTTTCTACCTTATCCCGGGACTCCATCACCAACTACTCTACCAGCTGGGAACCACGAGTTCCCATTCACCTTTTGCCTATCCAACAGCACACCAGACACTATTGAGGGCCTCGGCGACTGTCATGCCAGATATCAGCTGAAAGCTACTATCAGCACAGCCGGCGGACGTCGTATCCACGCTGACACCTGGGTCAGGGTGCGTCGGATGTACAGATCACTATTGCTACCTGAGCCGAAGGTGAGTTATTATGCAATATGGCCTTGTGGGGTCTCAAATAAAGGCTAATTTCAATAGGTAATGCAGGAAATATGGCCGCAGAAGATAATTTATCGCGTTTCATTACCATCTCAGGCCTATACCTTCGGGAGTGTTGTCCCCATCAAATTTGAGTTTATTCCTTTATGCAAAAGGCTCGAGGTAGCAACCATCCACACTAAGGTTGAAGAGACACACAGAGCCTTACAACAGCCTGTATCCAACCGCAGGACCCGTATAATAGTCAAGGACGACTATTACCCCAGAGGTTGGGATGAAGACGAATACAAAATAACATCCGATAATGAAGAATGCTGGTATTCTACGGCCCGCTTCCTTCACCTGCCAAATGATCCAAAAGAATGTCTACAGAGCCTCTCTACTAATTTTCTTCGTGTCGAACACACGCTCACCATTCAAATCAAGCTCTTAAATCCCGATGGCCACCACTCAGCAGTATGACTTCTAGGTCCATTGTTCGTTCATCTTACTGACCACAATATAGGTCCTCTTAGAAATGCCCATTTCTGTTCAATGTGCCTCGCCACCTTTGCTAGAGGACCCCTTTGTTTGCTCCGTGCTTCAATCCCTGAGATTGATGGATGAGACGTGTGACCAGCCACTGCCGAGCTACAATAACCACATTATGGACCGAACTCCCGATGAAATTGCGTCCGAAGTACCTGGTGATGAGATTGAAGTTCTCCCAGAGCCTCCGAGTTATTGCCAGTTGGACGGTTTTTCAAAGCCACCAACATATGAAACTGCCATTCTATCAACATTTTCTAATCCTGTCCTATTAAATGAGGGCTACGCCTGACACAACATGCTGGGTGTGAAGTTCGTGCAGAAAAGATTCATATAACTAATCAAGTTTACCTCCTAAACACCTCAACTCTTGCCAACTGCATAGGCGAAGGCCTCATCCAGAATCCTCAGGCCCTTCTCAATTTCTTGTGCTGACACCGTCACTGGCGGCGCCAGACGGAAGACTCCTCCCATACCCGGAAGGTTAACAACATTACACGACAACCCACACGCCATGGCTCTGTCTGACACCAACTGACCTAGCTCCGGCCCAGGAGCCCGGGTACTCCGATCGGAAATGATCTCAATCCCCTGCAAAAGGCCCCGACCGCGTACATCCCCAATACACCAGTACTTCTTCTGGAGCTTTAGCAGGCCTTCCCTCAACTGCTCACCACGCTCCCTCGCTCTCCGGCAGATATCCTCTCGCTCCACAATCTCCAACACCTTGTTCCCCACCGCCGCAGTAAGGGGATCATTTAAGTGTGTCGTCAACCAAAGAAACCCAGCGTCCGCGCACCCCTGAGCAATCTCAGCTGTCGTACTCACCGATGCCAAAGGAAGCCCGCATCCTAAGGTCTTTGACAAAGCTAGAATATCCGGGACTATTCCAGCCTGCTCAAATGCAAACATGTGACCAGTGCGACCGACTCCTGTCTGCGCCTCGTCCATGATCAGCAACATGCCGCGCTTCTTGCACTCAATCGCCATGCGTTGCAAATATGCATTGGGGAGCTCCAAAATCCCCCCGGTTGACAGAATAGGCTCCATGACAAACGCAGCAAGCGACCCCACACTCTGCCGATCAATCATGGACCAACCAAACATCAGCTCCGTCTCCCAGTCATACGTCCCGTCCGCCTTGCGAAAGGGCGAGCGGTATGCATATGGAGCAGGAAAGGCAAGCTGACCTGGCATACACGGACCACCACATTTCCGGCCTGTGGAATACGTCGCTGATCCTGAGCCCTGGGTGAGGCCATGGTAACTGGCGCTGAAGGCGACAACTTCGAATTTTCCAGTGTACGCTTTGGCCATTTTAATGGCAGCTTCGATAGACTCGGAGCCGGTGCTTAGGAAGAAGGACTTTTCGAGGGGTGGAGGGAGGAATCGGGCGAGACGCTCAGCTAGGTCCGCTACTGGGTGGGTGATCATGTTGCTGAGGAGATGGTCTAGTTTGGCGGCGTATTCCTGGATTGTGGTGACGATCTCAGGATGGGAATGACCGAGCAGTGAGCTCATCTGGCCTGAGGTAAAGTCGAGGATGCGACGGTTGTTGGTGTCATATAACCAGGTGCCTTTGGCTTCGGTGATGATGACTGGAGAGATAGGGACTCCTGTGGACATGAGGTACATGTTGGCTTTGGCGAAGAAGGCGGCGGTGGTGTTGGGGCTTGTCATATTGTTCGATAGCGATTGCTTTTCCTTCGCTAATAATACAAATAATTATGTTGCTCAATCTGAACCTGTTTTCCATGTCAATCCAGGCCTCGTTGGCTATAAGTACTAGTTCCCCTCAGAGTGACCGCGGGCATAGGGTTCTGCTATCCAACTACTCTAATTGGCTGAGTTGCCCGCGGGCGAAGGTTCCCCGCGGCCACGAAATACTTCGCTTTATCGGAATCATCCCCTCCTTCTACTTTGAATCCACGGATCAAATATCCAGTAGAAAGGCATCCTGATCATTCTTTAAGAAAATGAAGGAGAGCAGTAGCAGCTCAGGCAGACCCTATCGGTCTCATGCGCATCCCGCATGTTTGCCTTGCCGAAAACGCAAGTCGCGATGCCGCACCAGAGACTCCTCGGCGACGTGCATGATGTGTCTGGCTCATGCAACCGAGTGTCTCTTTCCTTCAGCTGACAAGCCTGCTCAGAAGAAGCGAACCGTCAACCTGCAGCAGATTGCACCCAAGACAGCTCGGATTGAACGACCTTTCCCCCCTCAGGTCGTACTCCCGTCACCCAGGACCAGCCAACCTTCTGACACACCACAACCGACGAGACATTACCACCCAGCTCATCTTCCCACAGCATACTCAGATGGCAAGGTTGCAAGTCTAATGGATGTGGTTGGCGATACCGGGGACGATAGCTCCCATGTCGTCAGCCCAGTTGTTGCCGATGACAGTAGTATATTGGAAGGATATCTGTTCACAGTTCCGGATAATCGAAGACCAGGCTTGATGCACACTAGTTCGAAACCCAGTCGACTCATGCGGCAGGTACTGTTCAATACCATACCGAGGCGTCCGTTAGGAGTGTACTCAAATCAATCTCTCCCGTCCATGAAATGCGAGCTCATCGAAAAATACCTCGAGCCCGCGACGAAGGATGTTGTGGGACTGTAAGTCATCACAAATGATCGTTTACATGAGATTTCTTGTTACTGAGTGTTGTGCCTCCAGGTTCTTCGAATGCGCAAATATATGCTTCCCTGTGTTTGACGAGGCGTCGTTCATGAATGCTTACTGCACTCGCAAAGAGGAAATATCCCCAGCTCTCCTCTGCAATCTATATGCCAACTCGCTAATATACTGGGACAATTCGCCACAACTGCGTTCAACTCGCACACCCGACATCCGCTATATCTGGAACCAAGCTAACGAGGCTCTTCATTCCGAGTTGTTTCTGAGTCCTGGTATTTCAACTGTACTGGCGATGCTGCTGAATGTCTGCGGCAGACCAAGCACCTCGATCTTTGGCAATGGGGGTATGGTAGGGACAGCGGTAGCCCTATCTAATGCCTTGGGCTTAAATCGAGATCCCTCCCAGTGGAATATCTCTGCCCCCGAGAAGGGATTCCGCATCCGCGTCTGGTGGTTGGTCGTTATTCACGATCGGTGGTAGGATATCCCGCTTTTTTACTTCTCTCTTCCACTCTAACATTTACTAGGTGCAGCCTCGCCTACGGAACACCGCTCCAGATTCATCGCGCCCAATACGACGTCCCATTCCCAACCATGGACTATGTCCTCTCTTCTCCTGGAATGCCATCTCATGAAGCTGCGGCCTCAATCTTCATTGCTTTCACAACACTAACTGAGGTACTGGGTCAATACCTAGAATATATCTATCACGTCTCCAGTCCCGTGAGGAAGACAATCAATTCCCTTTCAGACCTCCTCACCAATTGGGAAGAATCCCTCAACACCAAGACCCGCCATATTATCCGCCGCGGAACCAACCTGACCACCCCTGGCGCGGCAAACCTGCGCTTGGCATACTTATCCGTGAAGCTTCTGCTCCGAAGAATTGCACTCGACCTGGACGACGAGCAGACTAAGACTTCCAATATTGATGATATGAATGACAGCACCTCCTCCTCTGTTTCATTCAAACACGTCGAGAGTGTGGCGGAAGAGATAGTGCATCTCGTAAGGGAGCTAGACGAGCATCAGCTACGTGGGTTTTGGATCCCGGTGCAGGCGTACTCGCTAACATCTGCGACGACATTTCTTCTGCGGAGTGGGCTACGCAGAGTTAAATCGCACTCTGTCGAGAGCGGCAAAAATCCACCCTTGGATGTGGCTAAAGAAATGATCGCTACACTGCAGTCTCATCGGCAGGAATTTGGGTGGGATCTGGGTGACGATTGTCTGTCAAACTGCGGCGAGCTGGTAGAAAGGATTGCTTCCTTGTATAAGGATGGTCCGGGCTTGTCTTTGAATGAGGAATTTTCTGATTCATTGCAGCCTTTTGATATAGATACATCGATCCTGGATGACCTGTTCTGGGACATGCCATGTATGGGGAACACCTTTACTTTATAACACCCGTTATTATCATCAACACATCCTTTTCAATATTATATCACTCTATATCTAACTTTATTAAATCTATACTCTATAATACACACTCACCCCTATCACCCACTACCCCTTAAACGGCGCAAACCTCGACATCTTCCTCAACCTCACCCCATAAATCATAAACAAAAACGGCACCGGAATGGCCGCCGCTGCAACACCCCCCAAAATGGACATTGCCGGCCCAACCCCCAAATTGCGAAACATGGGCTGCGAGAACAGCGGAAACGCCGCGGCCAACACACTCCGCAGGAAAGTATTCGAAGCCGTCGCCGACGCCGCATAGGGCCCATACGTATCAACCAGGAAATTTATACACTGGCCAAAGATAATACAAAATCCACATCCAAACACCATCGCCGCCACAACCGGCAATCCCCACGAATACTTCGGCTCAGCCGTCCACCCAAACCAGAACAGACCACCAGCGAACAAGAACCCACCTACAGCCATGGGCATCAGACGTGCCTCGGGTACAGGCTTACCGCCACCTTCCTCCCACTTGCGGATGTAGTATGGCTGGCCGATGAAGATGATGAACGCCGACGAGAGCAGAACACCGACAAACAGCCCGATGAAAGGCAGCGTAGCAACAACAGGCTTCCATTGGCGAATATCATCAAAAACAATCGGAAACACCTCAAGGGTAAGATACAGCAAAGCATACGTAAACGACGCATACAGCGCAATCACCGTAACCATCGGCTCAGTGACAAGCATGACCAGCGGACGCGAGAAATGCTTCGTAACGATACTATGCACGTCCAACTTGATGTGTTCGTGCGGGTGGTAGAGGTCCTTATTCCCGGTCTCCTTGCGCATACGCACCGCCTTCCGGTGTAGCAGCACGGGGCCGTATACCTCCGGAAGACAGAAGAAAGTGATGCCGAAGATGAAGAATACAATGATGGCCTCGATGTACTCGGTCCAGCGCCATCCCAGGTGCGGATTCGAGACAAGCGCGGCACCGATAATGGGCCCCATAGTTGGGCCTCCTACGACGCAAATGGCGTACGAAGTGCTGGCGATGCCGCGCGCCTTCATGTGGAAGATGTCGCCGAGTGCAGCGGAGACATTACTAACTGGTGCGGATCCGAATAGACCCGCGAAGTATCGGGTGATGAGAACTGAGGCTGTGTTTTTGCTGGTTGCGGTGCCGATGCTGAATAGTCCGAGGACGAACACCGCCGGCAGCATCGACCACCGGCGGCCGAAGAGTTCGGAGATGGGTGCCCAGCATAGAGGGCCGAAGGCGAAGCCAAGACTGTAATTCTTATTAGTAGCTGTTGAAGGAAAGCTTATACCGGGAATGATTGGGATATGTTACATACATATAGAGCGACACCGGAAGAATACTAACTTCCGTTCCAATGTTCAAATAAGCCTTAAGCTCGGTCTCCGCCGGAGAAATAATACTCGATCCTAGACTGGCGCTCAACGCCAATAATCCTAGCTGAAACGTGATCCAGCATTTGTACGCCGTCGAAAAGTTATGTGGGTTCTCGGGGTCGTTTTCCTCCCATTTCACTAGGTTAGGATCGGGGCCGCCGCCTGCATGTTCGACCTTGCCCTTTTCAGCATCTGCTGGTCGAGATGATGCTGGTAGCGGCGGTGGTGGAACGACAGTCATTTCTGGGCTGAGAAAGAGGCTGATATGCTAAGGCTGCAACGCACCCTTATTCTCCTTCTCTGCTTCAGATATTTTCTCCCATTTGGTGTTGTTTCGAGGGGGTGACGAAATTCCTACACTTTTTTTTTTCCTTTTCTCTCTGATTCGCCGCTTCGGGGTTTCGGCATGTTGTCCGGTAGATTTTCTCCGATATGCACGGGGGTGGCGTCGGATGGTCCGAACGGAGGGTCCGATGGTTGGGGAGTGGTTTAAAGGGTGGATGGGTTTGGCTGGGATGGTGCTGGGTGAGTGCTGGGTGTAGTGATAAGTGGGGAGTTTGGCACGACTTTTAGTGGTCTTGCTGCAATTGCCGAGCCCCCTTTGCATGCCTCCTGGCTGTTTTCGGTGGGCTCGGATATAACATGTTTCGGAGTTATCGGGCGAACATTCTCCGTTTGTAGGCAGTACCCACTCTTTGTTTTGGTTGTCAAGGTCTTATAACTTGTTAAGGGATCCTAGGCGATTTCTAGCGTGTTGGAGTTAGCTGTGAAGGAGATTGATTAATAGTTGAAGCCGAAGGAAGATTCAGATAGCTGAGAGTGTTCTACACTATGAATTCTCCGTAATATAAGTGGACTATCTTGCCCATCTGACTTGCATACGGCATAGCATCCGTGCAAATGTCGTGAAGATTACCAACTGATCTGGCCTTCGAAGTTTGATAATGTTTTACTGGCTAAAAAATATCCAGATAAGCTCAAACTTAAAACCCAATAAAGCGTTGCTGATGCCGAAAGAACCGGGGAGGATTTCTTGCGGTAGAACACGAACAAGGCAAAAGAATAATTGACGCACGGGGGAAGAGTTGAACTCCTTCGTCATAGAGCCCGCGTTGCCTTTACAACATACGGCATTGAAATTGGTATGGCCTCATCTCTTGATGGACAACGTCTATGACACCATGTATATACATCATTTCCACAACTCTTCATCTCAAGCAGACTCCTCTTCATCAACTCTCTCCCCACTCTCAACCTGACCAAACCCTTGCTGTTTCTGCATCCTCCGCATCAAGTCCGCCGCCTCAAATGTATACTTGCACTTCATCCTCAGCACCTCACCATAGCGATACATGACAATAGGAAACGGGATACAAGCCACGGTCAGAAACCCTGGCACACAAGAAGCCCAATGAATCCCCAGATTATGGTACATCTGATTCGTGAACAAGGGAAACACCGCTCCACCGGTCGACCGAACAATAGCCAGAGCCGCCAGCGCAGTTGCCGCATAGATAGTATACGAATCGACGAGATAATTCGTGATCGACAAGCTAGTAAGGATGCACCCGAAACCAAACGGCGCCGAGAGAATGATACTCGCGGACCAATGAATGCTCGGAAAATTAGTCCATGCAAAGCCGAATATGCCGATCGGCAAGGCGATGGAACCCACGATGGCTGTGGGGAGGCGGGATTCTGGGGTGGCCTTGCCGGTATTGTATAGTTTCATGTATCGTCTGTGGTAATCGTAGCCAGCGTACACTAGTCCTAGGATCTCTCCGATTGCAAGACCTAGGAATGCTAGACCGCCAATCCCTTCAGACCAGCCACGGTCTTCGTTGTATACGATTGGCATAACGCCCATGAACATGTAGGTCGTTCCGTAACATAGGGCTATGTAGATGGAAGCAACCGTGACGATCGGTTCATGCATGAGGAGGACCCATGGACGGATTAAGGCTCTTTGGAAGACTTCAGAGGGTTTCTTCTTGCCCTGGCCGCGCTCGAGAATACTAACGTGGACTTTTCCGGTGGATTTGCTTAGACGTTTTGCCTTTCGGAGTAGCAGTACTGGGCCGTATGTTTCTGGGACGAAGATGGTACCGATGATGCCGATCACTCCTACGAAGATACAGCACATCCCCTGCACCCATCGCCAGCCCACGTTCTCAGATACGAATCCGCTGATAATAGGGCCAACTAGGGGTCCTAGTAACGGTGCGAAGGAGTAGACTATCATCGCTAACCCTCGCTGCACTGGAGGGAAAATGTCTGCGATAGCGCCCCCTGCGTTGACTAACGGTGATCCGCCGAATGTACCGCTGAAGAATCGTAGGACAAGTAGGGTGGTTATGTTGCGGCTTCCGGCGGTGCCTCCGATAAATGCCACCATGCCGATGTGGGAGATTATCCAGAAGATCTTTCTGCCGTAGAGTTCTGATCTGATATCCGAAGAGATATTAATACAGGGTAGGTATATGATAGGTGAGGGAAGCTTACTGAGGAGTATTATCAGCATGTTGTTCTATGTGATACGGATCCAAGACAAATACTCACCAGAGGTGCCCATACTGCCGGCCCGACAGCAAATCCCAAGATAAAGAGGCTTATCCCTACAGAAAAGACCTCCGTGCTGATATTGAAATCTTTGATTATTTCATCGCTGGAGTCGGAATACGCGGAAGACGTGAACGTAACGGCGAACACAGAAGAAGTTACAATGAAAGCGATGAACCATTTTCTTGATGCCGACCAATTCATAGGGTTCTCTGGATCATCTCTATTGAACTCCACGATGAAGGGATCTGTGCTTGTTCCTTGCCCGTTATGAGCATGGGACTGTTCAGTCCCGCCATGACTGACTCCTATCGCAACCTCTGACTTGGGAGACATGTTTTTGGCTGCTGTGACACCACATAGAAAGCGACAAAGTCAGTTACATCGTTTCTAACAGAATTGCTTGAAAACAGTTAAATCTAGCAAGAGTGGCGTGGCCAGGTCATCCAAATCCCGTGTCGGCAATTAATCGCCTCTCAGGTTCCGATAATATTGATTCTTACGTCTGGTTAATCTAATCGCACTCATATGATCAACTACTTGCATGATTGTGCATACTGCAGCTGAGTTATCTGCTAGTTGGCGGCCAGATTGCGCAATAAGAAATATATTGATCACTGTAGATCATTTACCGCAATGGTACCTGATCTACGATCTGCATCTCCCAGGGACCCAATTTCCTGCAGTCACGTTCAGCTTCAGTTTCAGCTCGCAGCTACGCACTGCACTGGTCGCCCTGCTAGGTCACTCGGTGGCGCTAGAGCGCATATCAGCGGGTTGGAAGTCAGTTGGGTTTAGAAGTCGTTTTGCAGGGTCCAAACTTTGAAGCATTGCTTTTTCTTCTTGTTTTCCTGTTTTGGACACAGTTCAGCGCAGCGGTAGATGGCCGGCTACCAGTGACTTCACCGATGCACGACATTAACCAGTCTGATGATATCAAAGTATTCTGGTATCGAAACAAGTAGACTTTATAAACGATAAGTTTATGCGTATGCGTATGTATGTACGAAGATTGACTTTCAAACCCAATCAATCCCTGCAAAGTCAGTTCTAAATGAGTCCGGGCTGTGAGTCAGCAGACAGATTAGATGGGCGGACAACAAGGTAAGAAGAGGGGCTCAAGAACTAGCAAACAGACTTCTATGAGGGAAGATCTCTAATGTATGTGCTATGTACAAGTTGCGCCGAGAAGCTAGAGAAGCAGGACATTGAGGGTCCGACTGCAACAAATCAAATAGGAACCCTCTTCAGGCTAGTGGTCCTCACACCCAGTTCAAATCCCGAGTGGATCAGCCCTAGGCATGAATTTCCACCCGTAGTTTGGCATTAACTACACAACACGGAACCCGTTAGTACAAGGTCAGCACTAGACCCTTCCCAAGACCAATCACAACCAAAATCCCTATCCACACTGCACAGCTCTATCACACCCTATCTCAATTCCCCCCATAAGCTATCATCCACGTAGTCACTATTTTGCTACCAGCACTCACCACCCCCAACCCTGCCCTATCCATCACTTCGTCACAACTATGTCCTCACCATCCCCATGCCTCTCTGGCACCCACTTCGGTCACATCACGATAGATGGCGTTCGAATGTACGCTCGCATAACAAGCAATCAACGACACTCTCCAGCCTGTCATAGCGATCATAGGCGGTCTGGTCAGCTGCCACAGCGAAGGAGTCGTAGTGCAACGCCTTATGCCCGTGTATATACCTAGGACCGCGCAGGGTAGGGCCTAAGCGATGTGTCTTCGCGCGGACCTATAGCCCAGAACCGCGTGTATGAAGTGACCCGGTTACTAGAGGTAATAGGGACTGAGCCACCCTATATACTGGTTGGGTAGTCATATGGCGGTATCTTGATCCGGGAGTTTCTTCGCATGCATATCAAGTCGAAAGTGGCGGGGATGATGATTGCTGATTCTTAGAGAGAACCTAATCCGTTACCGCGGGGATGGTTTAGCTTGCTGGGTGGACTTGGGTTTGATGTGGTTTTGGGGTTAGATGTGAATTATGCATTCTCAGCGGAGGAGTATGAGAGGATTAAGGAGGATGAGGTAAGAGTATGTTTCATGTTGAGGAGGGGTTTGTAGCAAAGATTATGGAAGAGGTTAATGCTGGATTGCCGCTGGGGTTTCAAGCGCTGGGTGATGGACGATTGAGCGTGGTGTTTGGAAATCGATTGGTGGGATTTCGTAAAGATTTGGAAGTTGGGTTTGCAAATGGGTGTGGTATCGAGGAGGCGAGGACGAATCTTGCTGCGTGGCTAGAGACTATTGAAAGGGTTGATGAGGAAACTCAGAGGGCCCATCTTGGATTGTCGACTGAGAGTCGGTTTGTCTATGCGCAGAGGAGAGCCATGGCGCATAATGTGCACTATGTGGACCCGGAGCGGATTAGTGATGAGGTTTTGTGGGTATTGGGTCTGACGGGTCGGCAGTTTGATGGTCGGGACTGCTCGCTAATACTTAAGAGGATATTATTATTGTTACGGCTTTGTATGCTTTAGAACCTCTATGGTAAGTAATATAGTATAAACGGACATATTTATGAAGAAACGGACCAGGTATAGACAACGGAGAACTGGAAGGAGTTCTATCACACACATAATTTCCAATAACGACCCGAAACGCCATGCCATGCTCCAAATCACAACCCAGTCTCCCATAACTCCGATGATGATATAGATGGTGTCCCTCAAACAGCCGACTGACTGTCCTCGGTTTTGACCCTATTATCCCTCGCCATCCAATGCAGATCCCTCAGTCTCAGCTGCCGCATATACACTCTCTGCTCTGCGGTGGGATCAAAGTCCCGCTCTAGGCCGTAAAACCCATTGGTCATAAGGTAGTGTGTGGAGTAGCCGGATAGAGTCAGCATTACACAGCCGAGAATGACAAAGAAGATGACCGCCGCGTCGCCAATGTATGCCATGATCGATGATTGATTTCGGTTTGTGTTGCGTGATACTTCGGTACAGTAAAGGAATTTTGGTGGCGGTGGTTCTGCAGCGGGAAACAATTAGATCGTGTGAGAATAGTATATGTTTGGTCTGTCTTACTTTGGTAGTAAGTTGGTCTGAGTGCGTCGACTAATGAGTGGAATGTCTCAATTGAGAGATAGGAATGAAAACACGCCGGTAGTTATTATGAGAGGCAAATGCAAAAGAACGATAGTATTATATCATGTAAAGAGCGACAGAATGCAATTCTGAATGTAGAGAGCGACAAAAACGTAGAAAATGAAGGACTGAACTTTTCACTCTTTTTTTTCACGTTCATCATCTCCCCCCCTAACCCAGTAGTATTTATACTCTACCACGTCAAGCATCACAGTCTCTAATAGAGTATCTCCAAACATTCCTTCGGGGCCAGAACGTAGAACTACTCCCGATACAGTCTAGCCTCTAGCCCTATGATGTCATTAGCGAGCTGGCCAATCATATTATCTGAGTTGGATCAGAAAAGGGTTTAGCGTAAGAGTATGTTAGTGCTTAGTATTGCCAAGTCTAAATAAGGAAAGTCTTGATTTGCGGCGCCTGACTGGGAGGATCCGAGATGGAGGTTAGCCCGGACTAATTTTCAGTTTCTGATTCGTGAAATCCGAGCCACAGTTCTGGCATCTGGATAAGAATAGACGGAAGGATGAATAGCTAACGCCGGGATTGAAGCCGAGTTTAGATTCGGATATCTAAATTCCTAGATAGGTAGTTGTGTACCCGGGGTACCTTGGATGGTGGATCGGATGGACCCCTTTTCCATTGATTTTACTACTACAGAGGTTGAATCTGGGATGATAACTGTCCTCTCTGCAAGACACACAGGATAACGAAGTTCCTCAGACTGACATTTAATCTGGGAATAATTGCCACGATTGTTTTTTTTTTTTCCCCTTCCAGCCATCCGTGCATCCTGTCGACGCACTAACCGCTCGACCAACAACGATATATCGCATAAATCTAGGCAGGTGACGGAGAGGTATGTATCCCAACATTATCTACTTACGAAAAGCAGGTAGCAATATTGATGAAAGGGTAAAATTGTCAATCTTTGTCAATCAAGCAAGACTTTTGCTCCCCCCTCCACTCCATCATCGCTCACTCATATCGCACACTCCATATTACTCTAGTATCCCTCCTCATCAACACTATACTCACGATACACAGTCAAACTAAACCTTGCAAACGCACTTCTAGCTCTAATACCCCTCCCGTATCTCGAAAACAACGGCGGCACAACACAAAACACCGTTGCAACCGCCGCCAACACCGAAACACTAAAATTAGCCCCGAGCCGATCCAACATAGGCGCCGAGATCAGCGGTAACGCAGCAGACAATAACGCCCTCACCAGACTCAATGCAGCCAGGCCACTAGCCGCATAACTGAGGTAACTATCCGTCAGATACCCGCCGAGCACGTAGTCCATCTCATTGAGACTATACCCAGCCAGCACGAGAGCTGCGACCGACACAAGCCAAGGGAGATTTGTGACAGCTGGCGGGATAGTCCAAGCGAAAAGCCACAATGCCGCAGCGAGAATGGGTGCACCGATCCAGAATCCTGTCAGTTTATCTTCTGGGAGGAGTGGTCGGCCCTGAGCTCGGTGGTGAGCGATGATGCGCAGGTCAAGACAGCGGGTGAGGAGGCCGAGAGTGAGGCCTAAGCCAATTGCGATGAAGGGGAGGCAGGCTTGCTTGGGAGTGAAGCCGAAGGATCCGTAGATGGGCGGTAGAGCTTCGGTGAAGAGGTAGACTAGAGCGATGGCGACGGCGCTGATGATGGAGACGGTGAAGACGATGAGTTCGGTGAAGAGGAGCCGGATAGGGCGGAAGAGCGCGATGCGGACGAAGCTGCGCATGTCGGGGGCTTTATCGGGGTTGAGGCCTTCCAGGGTGTCGATTTTGGTGACTTTGCGAAGAGTAGCGACTTCGCGGGCGAGGAGGAGGGAGGGACGCGATTCATTCAAAGTGAGTAGTAGGAGTGTCAGGATTCCGGTTACCATGGCTGCAATGTAGAATAACCATCTCCTGGTGCGGTGTTAGTGAGGATATTGGTGGATGTTAGGGAAAGGGGGAAGGGGGGGGGGGGGATACCATTGGGTGTAGGCCACGACAAACGTACTGAGAATGGGACCTACAACGAGACCCAGGTTGGCGAACATGGTCCAAATACAGATGACCCAGACTCGCTCGCGGGAGTTGAAGGTGTCTTCGATGCTACCCACTACAACAGTCGTGGGAATGGCGGACAGAAAGCCACAGAGACATCGGCCAATCGCTACTCCTACCAATGATGGCACGGATGCAATCAAGATGCATGATAGGCCGTAGAGGGCCGAGCTTGCCACATAGAGCTTTTTTCGACCAAATACTTCGGAGTATGGGGGAAATACGACACCCCCGATGGCTTGGCCGATAAGATATCTGGGAAGTCAGCCTGGGTGTACTGGAGGAAGCAAGTGAGTACTAACATGGAAACAAAGAGAAAAATTGACAGGGTTCTTGAAATTTCGAAATCGTGCACAGCATTATTAGCCGCAGTTGACTATATGTTCAGCAAATGTACATCTCTATAATAGTTTGATTACCCACGCCAGCGGTGCTGATAGCAGTTCTGGAATAATTAGTCTCGGTATGATCCAAACCAGGGGACTTCATACGTGAAGAATTCCAGGAATATGATAAGCGTAGTATCATAGACCTTGCGTCGCAAGCTCCAGTTTCGTGGATGTCGACAATTTCCCAGAGCCCACTGTATATGGACTCCGTCCGGGGCGAGCTTGAGGCCATACTGGGGCAGCAGCGCCAGAAGTGTTTCCTTTTCGCTCTCCACAGGGGCCGTGATGACCCGGGAGACGGTTTTCATTGTGAGAATCTGAAAAGACCTCGAGCATACGGATCCCTATGCTGCCGGACTTGGGGTGTAGCTATATACAAAAGCCTGTCTTCAATATGAGCTCCTAGAAGCACGAACTCTGAAGTAGTACACATTATCTAGCAAACAGAAGAGACCAACAGCAAACGAATTGTGACAGGGTTACACAGTCACCGGCTCATTATGGGGATAGGCCTGATCTGTCCGGGGAAGCGGTTGATCTCCTTGATCTAGATTCAGTCGGGATGTCGCCAGTGAAGGTCAATTGGTAGAAGCCTATCATACTCATGATGCTGCAGCGGTCTGTGGAATTTCTTTCTTAGTTGGAAGCACAGGTTGTCTGTGCGGTATAGCACTCCGTGGTCTGTGTCTGCCTTCGGTCCGGTACCACGTCGGGAGGTAAAGGGCAGCAGCATTTCGCATGTGCCAAACTTTCACGCATCCAATCGATGAGCTTGGCCCGGAATCTGGGGATCGGCTGGATAAAGCCTCATGCACAGCCTGTTTGCGGTGTCGGCAAAAGTCGAACTGCGGATATTACAAGAATGAATTTGGCGTTTCCAGACACACTCTGTTTCGCATTTAAACTAGTCTACTTCCCGATCCACTATTCTAAACCATGTCTGCTCGCATCACGCACCTAGTCCTCATCTCCATCATTATCACCCCCATTTGACACGCCGCTGTTTCCGTTGTAGGCCAGTAGATTGGGGCTACCGGCAACATTAGTGACAGCATTCCGCGTAGCCAGTCTCTTGAGCTCAGCCGTTGCGGCCGCTGGGGTAGCCAGGTTCCGCAAGCCCATCAAATAAATGACCAAACCTGTCACATGGGGTGTGGCCATGGACGTACCGGAGATGGTGTTGGTAGCCGAGTTGGAACCGATCCACGCAGAAAGGACTTGCTCTCCCGGAGCAAAAATGTCAACTACGGACCCATAGTTTGAAAATGACGCACGGGCATTGCTTCTGCTTATAGCGGCAACAGTGACAGCGTCGGGTGCAGAAGCCGGGCTAGTCCGTGCTGCATCTCTCTGCAAAGCATCAGTGAAACTTTCTCCGAAGGTTGGACAGTCTAACCGAGCGTACATTCTCATTTCCAGCGGCAACGCAAGAGAGTACACCCTCGTCAAAAGCATTCTCAACTGCATTATTGAAAGCATAGGAGTATCCTCCACCTACCTCACGGTTAGCAACATTCAGCCACCAGGGAGGGCGACATTACCAAGACTCATATTGATCGCTGCTTTGCTGGTCCGATTCTTGCTCACAATATCATTGGCCGCCCAATTGAAGCCATCCAGAATGACCGATGTCGAGCTTGATTCACCCACAAACACCTTCACGGATAGTAGGTGAGCGTTTTTCGAAACACCGTATGTTTTGCCGCCAATGGTCCCTGCTACATGTGTGCCGTGACCAACACCATCAACATGTTCACCCCCTGCAGCATTGTATGCTAGGCTAGCACGACCACCAAACTCATTATGTGTAGCCAAGATGCCGGTATCCACTACATAGGCATAGGTACCCTCGCCAGCGCTGTCATCATAGATGTAATCGGTGCTAGACGCACCCCGGTGCGAGATACTGCCCAGTCCCCAAGGAGCTCGTCTTTCGGTAACTAGCGTATCGAGGTACCATACCTGATCTTGTTCCACGTAAGCCACCTGTACGCCAATTAGTTCAGGCTTCACGGCCTCGGACAATTAGGTCTCAAACATGGTCATGTTTGCGGATCTCCTCGATAGTCTTTTCATCAAAAGACCCCGCGTACCCAGCAAAATTAGCAATTTTATATGTTCTTTCGATGCCGGCGGGAAGGTCATCGTCGGGTGTACTGCGGCCTTCTATGCTGCGTCTGTGGAGCTCCGTTACCCATGCGGAATGGGACTCAATTTTGGCGTTGTCAATGCCGGACTTGAAAGTAACAATGTACTTTCCCGGGATGGTCTGGATGGTCGAGTGAGGGACCTGCTCTGTGGCACTGAAAACTGCAGGCAAAAGCAGGGCGAGCAGCGGGAGAATGCGTCTGAGGAATGCCATGTTGAGCGAGTGGTTGCCGAAAGAGGAGAATTGTCAATGACAGACTTGAATGCTTGAGTTCAGTAGTGCAATAGATAGATCTCTTATAGTCCCACAACAATGTCTAAGTCCTGTTGTCTAGGCCACGGTTTCAGTCACATTCACCTTTGGCCGATTGTCATCAAGTGGGGACCTGGTCAGAAGGCACTTGGTCAGTATATTTAAAACTCAGTCAGATGGTCACATTGCATCTTCGGACTACTGGGTTATGCCCCGTGAGGAAAGCATCATGCATGCATAGAATACAGATAGCATGCAGGGATAAGATTACGGACACATTCCGTTTCGGGGGCAGCTTGACCAGCTGTCCATTAGCTTCTCTAGAGGCTGTTTTACTTGGGCGTTAGATTCAATGTACTCATTCTTATGACACAACACATAGTAGGAAGACCTATTTCCGGGTTCTAGACAGCGGCTCTACACTGCAAGAAGCGTCCATATAAACAAAGGTCACTCAAAGTGCCTTGTACAGGCGGGGGATGGTGAACAGACTATTCGTCAGCCAATGTAACCCATCATTACTTGGCATCTTCACGCGATAGCATCTAGGGTTGTTCAGCTTCTACATCAGGTAGATCCTACCCCAGCGACTGGAAGCATTGTGAGGGATATTTACAACCCTACTGTAGGGGGCGGGCATATGTGGGTGACTGAAAGGAGTGTATTGTTACCCAGTGTTACACGGCGTTTGGGCACAAAAATAACCTCTGATTAACCTGTACATGCAGATATATTAGTGGTCCAACAGCTCTTTACATCGTCGAAAGGGACTTATATCCGAAGGTTTTGCAACAAATGCCTTCTGCCACTCATATGGCCCCAGACGGTATCGGTTCCACTGAAACGCCATATGAGTTGCACATGCCTAGAAGACTTTCTAATACACTCATACCAGAATATTCAAATGTTAATATTCTGGCTGATGAGATAATTCAGATACCAGCGGGTTAGGAGATAATCACAATCCGTCGTAAACCACACCCGGTCCGGGGAATCTATATCTGCGCCGCCCGGCTGAGGTCCGGATAATAAGCTAGGTATATGCAGGGCCAAGCAATGTCATGCTGTCCACTATGGGGGGCCCAAAGTGCTGGGGCCCATAGATGCAGAGACGTGGGACGCACCTCCCCTGCATTTGCGACATTTGAAATCCGTCCAACATCACGGGGTCGACCGTCAGGCTCCGAATGATCATTGGTAATGTCTCTCCGTGGTGTGCAGCACAGACTGTCACGACCACTTACCAGCTTCTCTCCTGCAAGTCATCTTCCATTCAAGCTGCCTTAGCGTGTCCGGTGACGGCGGGATAGGGGCTGTCTGACAGACTGCATATAGCTTTCTAAATGACTGTTGCATTGAGAGATGGCTGGGGGGGGCGTGGCCGGGAGAGTCTCTGGGAGTTACTTTGTTTGGCACAGGAGCGTGTTGGGTAGAACAAGAGAATTTAGTGGGAGGTTGACGTTGCAAGCGTGTTCCTTGGCTGGGGTCTCGTTTCACAGGTCCCGTGATGTTGTGTTGCTATCATCCATATCATCCTCCTGAAAAGAGGAGAAGTCGTTAGCGGTAAGCTATAAGTTTCCTTGTACGTGAGTGTTTACCTGCACTAGCGAAATCGCAGCTCTAATCAAGTCTGAGACTAGATATGTCGACGTAAAGCAAAAGGGGAGGATGCTGTACTGAACAGCAACGATCGGATAGAGCATGTTTGCTTCCAATACAGTCGCCATTGACAATTCTGCATCCTCGAGGAATTTAAAGCGCCGTTCACCCAAGGGCTATGCGTTTATTTTGGTGCTTTCACGCTCTCACTGCAAGCGTTTGTTACTTGGCACTCGAGGAAGACATTAAATGTATCTCAAATTAGACTGGACCAAAGCAATGACGATTGATGGGTGAGTGGAAAACCATGCTATACTATATAGCTGTTAAAGTAGAGCAGGAGGGTCCTGCACTTATATACTCAAAAAATTCTTAGGATTCTTCAAGCCCGAGGATGTCTCTATCAAGTCTGCCCATTCACATCTAATTCGGAGAGGGTACAGTGAATGCTGACAACAAGCGGCTCCAGAGTATCAAATGGGCGGTCAGTCTCTGCCACAATAAGCCTTCACCGCCGTAAAAGGGCAATCGGGCCGAATTCCCAGTCCAATTGTCGCAAACAATCAGATTCCCGAAAGAGCCCCAAACATTGATCGCCAGATCTTCCCTATCTTTCGATCTTGAACTTCTCTTGTGCTTACTCGTATATGGTTTTGCCTTGATCCTCCATCTACCTACTCTTCGATTCTATACTGCCTGATGCCTTGAAGATGAAACGTAGCGTGACCTGGTCTTTCAGTTGAAGATATATATTTGTACTGTCCGATATGCGCGCCATCCACTATCGTATATAGTCACACTACTTTAATAACTACAACGTTTCTCGCTGTATTAGACACTACCAGGAAATACAAATGCCTGCTACTAGTATTGTGTTATTACCAATTCCCTAGGACGATGTTGTGTCTATCATATAGCGCTCCAGCAGGATGACCATCCCTGTTAGGCTGGGCGCAGCCACAAGGCGCCAGACTTAAAGGTACTACTTCCGCCAGCTCCCACGTCATCTCTCCCGCTTATGCACCACCTCAACAAAGAGGCAAGACACCTTATCCAACCACTTCGTCAACTTCCATCGTGGTCTGGGTGACACAGTGTCTATTTCTCACCAAGCAAGCCATGGCCACTCCTAAGAGTGGCTTCGTCATAGGCGCACTCACGGTGGCCATAGCACTTTTCGCCATATACCTCTCACCATTTACTGATGTTCTTGTTGAAAATATCACTGGTTACTGCGGACTCGTCTTTCCGAAAACACCCGTCTCACTACCCAGAGTCTATGACACTCATCATGGCATCGAATATATTGGCAGTCTGTCAAATGGTGTAGAACATTTCCAAAACATCTTCTATGCGGAGGAGCCAACTGGTCTCCGACGCTTCGCTCCTCCTGTTCCAGTCCGCCCGTCGAAAGGGTCCGTGATCGATGCATCCCAGCCTGGAGCGTGGTGCCCCCAGGGCACAGGTGATATCCTGCCTTTCACGAGTAGAGTGTCAAATATCAGCGAGAATTGTCTAAGCTTGAGGGTTGCTCGCCCGACCGGTGTCAAAGAACAGGATAGACTTCCTGTCGTGGTGTGGTTGCATGGAGGTAAGTAGATTCATACTCTACTGATTTTTAGGTCGAGACTGATGATCATAATGCGAAGGTGGCCATGCTCTGGGTTCTGCTTCTGACATCCTTTACAACCCGGAAGGGCTGCTTCAGGGGGCCGTGGCGGCGGGGAAGCCGTTGATATATGTCGGAATAAACTACCGATTAGGATGTAAGACATACACTGTGCGCACATGTAGATGTTGTTGACAGCCCCAAGTCTTTGGATTTGCGACCAGTAGGGCCATGATTGAGAAGAAGCAGACGAATGCCGGACTGCGGGATCAGCGCGCTGCATTGGAATGTATGTGGACTCGTTTATACACTACGGAATCCTTGCTGACCCAATGACCAGGGGTTCGAGACAACATCGAAGCATTTGGGGGCGACCCCAGCAGAGGTACAACAACTGAATAATGCCATGCCATAAAATAGGCACGGACAACTAACGCATCTATAGTAACTGCCATCGGGCAGAGCGTCGGGGCCAGTGACATCGGCTTGCACTTGACATCTTTCAATGGCACCAAAGGTGTCCCATTCCAACGAGCCATGTAAGTTCACTAACATAAATCTGCCTTCTTCCAGTTATCTAACATATAAAGCATGATGTCTGGAGCCCCGGGTCTCAACTTCAACAGTGACTCAACTTTGGTATCCGAGAACACCGCAAACATCGCGCGTGAGGTTGGTTGCGTTGGCACCAACGACGCCGAATCCTCCGAAACCCTTGAATGTCTTCGACGTATCCCCTTCGAAACTCTAACAAATCTCTCCGTTACGTTGTCACGTGCAGCTCGTCCCCCATTCGGAGAAGGTTTCTTCTATTCGACCATTGATGGCGACGTTCTCCCCGCCCGACCTTCTGAGCTCCTACGTGCGGGCAAGTTCGTCGAAGATATTCCTATCATTGCTTCGTGGGTCACCAACGATGGAGCCTGGTATGCACCACCAACAACCTCCACTGACGATGAAGTGCTTGCTAGCTTCGGACTATGGTTGTCGAAGCTCTCCCCTGCCACAAAAGAAAGACTTCTAGCTTTATATCCGGTCACAGACTTCGCGCATATGGTCCGCGAAAGGTACGACGGCCCTATATCACCCCAGTACTACCGCGCCGCGCAAATGAATCGCGATATCTGGTTCACCTGTCCAGTGCTTGATTTTGCATGGCAGTACGCTCAGAAAGGATGGACCACCACGTCTAAAATATGGCTCTACGAGCATAATGCGACAAGATACGCGCCAGTATTCGAAATGATGGGCGTACCGATGTGGCGCGTTGCTCATCTTAGTGATATTCCCTATGTCTTGAACAATGCTAACCTGGAGGGTGGGGCTGATAACTCCCCAGAACAAATGAAGTTGGCACGGGAGGTGAGCAGACAGGTGATTGGGTTTGCGCATGATGCGAGTCCTAGTGACACATGGCCTGCTGCATTCTCGGGGATCAGTGAACTGGGAATATCCAAAAATACGCCTGATCAGCTGTCGATTCAGGTTTTCGGGGGTCCTATGGGGTCGGGGGCCACCAGAGTCAGCAAAGGTGCGGATGCGGGAGGATCTACAGAAGCAGAAAAGGCAGTGTCATGGGAAAGACTGTTTGACCGGTGCGAATTCATCAATAGTGCGCAGATGCGAGCGGAGGCTGGAGTATAGTATTACCTGCGGGATTTTAATGCTAATGTATGCCTGTCATGAGAGGATTGTGGAAAGTATAGGTTATGGGAGCAATAATACTTAGATGCGCGTGCGCAGATGTTCTTATGCTTTATCATCATCTCCTCCCTCCCTCTTGCTTTGTTATGGTGTGAAAGGAAAACCCCTCTTTTTACATGACATGAGTGGATATATTGGGGTCATTTAGGTAATAGTCTTGGGGGCACTTCCCCGGGGAAAGTCACTGGAAATCAGCTCTTGTAAATGCTCACGCTAATTCAAGATTTATACCGTCTTTCCAACCAATGTGCTGCTGATCTGACTATCTTGCACACGGAAGCTCCAGATCAACTTGCCAGACCGGGTGCATTGCAAGGCCGTCACCTGCCGCATTGCTAGCCTCAAACGCTGCATTTATGAAAAGTGTCTGATGGCCCGGTTTCAATGGAATCGCATCATCCGTACAGTGACTCGTTTCTACAACAGCCGGTGATGTCTCAGGATCAAGTCTGGACAGCTTAGTAACAACACTCGACTGTCCATAGTCGATAGCCGTAAAGTGGGAAGGTTCATTCCCAACAACAGTTCTATCCCTCCATTGTGCAATCATCGCACCCCATCCCTCATGAATATGTCCAAAGCAGTGCATTCGGGGCCTAGATCTCGCAATAGCCTTGAATAAATCCGGACACCCAGCTCTCCCGTTGTCAGTATAATCCATAATTCCCCTGGGAGGACCGTGCGTAATCACGATATCACCATCCTCCTCAATCTGAAAGTCATGTCCCCTTTCAGGATGGTACTGAAACCCCCAGTCCCCGAGGGAAGGGGTGTATGGACTGGCATAGATGTTGAGTAATGCTCCGTTTGGTAGTGTTATTGAGTGTGTCCCTTCATCTAAGAAGATAATACCGTTGTCTTGTTCGTTTTTGAAGAGGGTTCTGACTTCTTCGTAATCTCCGTAGACCTTCTTGACGGAAGGATCGTTTCTGAGGCCTGCTTCGCGGATCTTTTGTTCGAAGGTTGGCGTGTCTAGGGTGAAGTCGTGGTTTCCAGCGATGACAAGCTTGAGTGGCGCTTTGAGACGCTGGAGCTGTTTGATGGTTGTTTGGAATTCGGTTATGTAGGATGACTTTGTGAGGTCACCGCAGTGTATCACGACGTCTGCCGAGTGCTCTAAGCATGCTTCGGGTAGCTCTGCGCCGTGGGTGTCGGAGAGAATGAGGAAGCGGGTTTTGATGGAAGTGGGGGACATAGTTGTTGTGGGAAATAAGGATGTTGATAGAATGAAAATAATGGGTGTGAGGCAGTGACAAGATGAGACTTATAGGATAGGAATATCTAGGGAAGTTCCTAAGAAATACCGTGACGCTACAATTATGCCGTGACTCTATACAAGACGGCTGGTTCAGCCCTACAACATCATTACGTCTGTGAACTTCCGAATCTCTGACTCAGTCAACCCATGAGTAGCTAATAAATGGGAAACTAACACTAAAGCAAGAAGTTCCTTCATGAATCTAAAGGAATGTAAGGGGAGGATTAGTATACTGGTCATGTACAAAGCTGAGTGGGATGGTGCAAGAATGTAGGGCGAGACACTAGAAAGAGAAGATTGCAAAATACTAGCCAGATAGTGCGACTACCTATAATCAATCTTCCTAATGATAGGTATGATCGGCACGGGCATACTTGTCTAATAATCATGGAAAGCTATACTATATTAGTGGCCTAAGGCATCACATATGCCTGAGGTACTCACATCTGTCTGGCTGCCTAAGGCTGCGACAAAGTCGGCACTATGTACAACACCTCCGGGGTTCACCACCAAACCGTTCGAGAAATCCTCCATAGTATCAGTCTAAAGTCTCCTGTAGCTTTTCGCAAGGTTCTAGGTAGATCACGTGGACTACACTATGCGGGGTAAATACCACGTGATGCATGTGCCACCCGATCGCCGTCCGCCGTTCCTCCAGTCTCTCAATTCTTTGGCACAGAGAGTGATTGCCTCCAATTCCCTGCAGCATTTATCCCTTGTAGCTTTAGGCTCATTCCTGGTTCATTGCTATCTTCATCATGGATTGGTTGCGATCTCTTGTTTCACTCTGCATTCACAACTTGTGATAAACTCAGATGTGAAGATATTATAATCAACCCTGTTTTCGCCCAATGGCTGCTACCAACCTGCGTATCCGTAGATACCTCGGTCTCTGCAATTCAGGAGCCGAGTGATGTGGGGACCTGCTGACATGCATACCGAGGAGACATCCCTCATATCAGCTCTTGTCTTCCACCCAGCTGTTTGCCTCTCCTGATAATCAGATATCGAGACACAACAACATGGCAGCATGCACTCCCAGCAAGCCCTCATCATCCACAGAAGGGTTCTTTCAACCCCTTCCCACTATCCCCCCGTGCTATAGCTTTACTACTGCAAGCGCCCGAGGAAACCACTCTTCATCCGACGATGTAGTTTTAGGCCGAATCCTGGAGCTATACCTTCCCCACAACTGCGGCAACGTGGGCCACTCCATCCACAACCTCTCTCGCCGTGCCCTTGAGCGTAGAGTACTTCAGCACAGTGTTGATGCAGAGACTAACCCGCCTGCTCTCCGTCCGCTCACCACATTTGGCGGGGAAAATCGAGTTGATCCGCTATGGACATCAACTGGTTGGAAGGCTCTCAAGGAAATCGGTCAAGAAGAAGGCCTCGTGAGCGTCGCATATGAGACGGACAACACAACCTGGAACCGCCGCGTGCATCAATTTGCCCTGAATCATGTTTGGTCTGGTAGCGCTGCTATGACAGGGTGTCCTGCGTCTATGACGGACGGGGCAGCAAAGCTGCTTGCAGCTCATCTCGGCGAACCGGACGGGGACCAGCCTGGTCGTAGCGAAGTATTTCGTGAGGCATACCGCCGCCTCATCTCGCGAGATCCCAAAGTCGCATGGACAAGTGGACAGTGGATGACGGAACGAAAAGGTGGCAGCGACGTGCGAGGAACCGAGACGATCGCACGTCGACTGAGTCGCGAGGAACTGCTTCAAGAAGCCTCCCATCACGATGCGCACGGCATGCCGCTTGGACCATGGCGTATTGATGGGTTTAAGTGGTTCAGCAGTGCGACCGACTCGGAAATGACGGTCATGCTGGCGCAGACAACCAAAGGACTCAGTTTGTTCTATGCACCAGTGCGGCGGCGTGCTGGCCGGTCGGCCTCATCTTCGAGCGGGATTGAGTTGAATGGCATTCGGATGCAACGGCTGAAGAACAAAGTTGGCACCAAGCAACTGCCCACAGCGGAGTTGGAGCTCAAGGGTGTGCGGGGCTGGCTGATTGGGGAAGAAGGCAGAGGTGTAAAAGAGGTTGCGACCATCCTCAATATTACCCGCCTCTATACAGCGGCCGGTTCGACGGCAGGATGGGGCCGCGGACTGGCCATTTGCCGGGCATATACGCGGGTTCGCAAGGTCCAAGGCTCACTTCTTGAGGACGTCCCGCAGCACGTGCGCTGGATGGCGGCTGAGACAGTGAAATACGCGGCGGCCATGCACTGGGCCTTCTTCGGCATTGCCCTGCAGGGAACCGTTGAGCAGGATTGGGACCTAATGGTTCGTAATACCAAAGCTGCTGCCGTAGTCCCGCGTGATAAGAAGCAAGCTGCAACTTTGCTTCGGCTCATCACGCCGGCTCTAAAGGCCCTGGCCAGCGTGGGTTCTGTCCAGGGACTCCGAGAATGCATGGAAGGACTAGGAGGGGTTGGCTACTGCGAAAACAATGAGGATGGTGGGATTCTCAACGTAGCCAGAATCTTCCGAGACACGCTGGTCAATCCGATTTGGGAGGGTACGGTTAGTGTGATGGCTGAGGATGTGGCGAGAGTCATTATGGACCGACGGCTCGGTGAGGGTAAAGTCATCGAGAACGTCTTCGGGCAGTGGGTGCACAACATACTGCAACATTGTCAACGAATGTTCCCGGATGAGTGTGCATTCGTCACGAAAAGACTAGAGAGTCTCGTCCAAATTGCAAATAGGGCTGACAAGGCGGAGCTGCTATGGCGTGGAAGGGAGATAATTGGTCATTTGCAGGCCATCGTCTGCTCTTGTTTACTGATGTATGATGCTTGCACTGATGAAAATGAGGTGGCTGTGATCGTGGCATCAAGATATGTTCAGTCATTTGCGGACTCTGGTATAAAGCCACCATCTCAGTGGGATGTTGAGTCACGGAAGGACAAAATGATATTTTTGGGAGATAATGTGTCCCGTGCCGTACATGGGAAGCTTTGAAAGGGTCAGAATTGGAATATGTGTCTGATTGTTTGGGAATGGCGCATTACTGTGGACTTCAGCTCATAATACTACATTGTTGAAAGACGAGAAACTCGTGAACATATCTTTCACACTCATCATGTGATAATTATGGAGATTGGCTACAGACTTACACCTCAATCAGCAGAGCCTTTACAATTAATGGAAAGTTTAAAGATTATAAGACTGATATTATCACGTTGCAACCAAGTCGGAAAATACATATTAGGTACATAAAGCCAAAGCAATATCTAAATAGAAAATGTCTTCACGACCTTCTCGTTCTCCCTCTTCAGAAACCGCTCGAATGTCCCTAGGTCGAGATCCCACTCCTTTGTCGCCTCCAAATCCGCAAACTGTGCCATGTCTCGCATCGCCAACTGCGCTTCAATGAGCGGGTTAACAGCAGCCTGGGCTTCAATCTCCTCCTCAGTTAAGTAAGTAGCCTTGAGATCCCGCCCTGTGGCCTTCACGAGCTCCTTCACTATCTCCTCAACGGTCAACAACTCCCCCGCAATCTCAATCTCCTTGCCATGAAACTTCTTATCAGTCAGCGCCATTGCTCCAACTTTCCCAATATCCATCGGATCCACCAGTGGGATCTTCGTCTCCGTCGTCCACGCAGTAACCCAACATCTCTTATCCACTAATCCAGAATACATATACACCATCGGCGCTAGGAAGTTTGTCATAAAACTTCCAGGACGCATAATAGTCCATCTCTCAAAACCCATTGTTCGAATTTCGTTTTCCAGCGCCTGTTTAGGGAGCAGCATCTTCCCAACGAAGCCAGTGGGTGTGAAGGTACGGATCTTGTGGGGTTCGTTGACGGCGAAGGCGCTGCTGTAGACAACATGCTTGACACCAGCTTCTTTGGCGAGAGTGAGGAGTCGCCGGCCGCGAATAACTTCGATGTCGGGGTTCTGGAAGTCGGGAACCATGTTCAGGAAGAGACCAGTGCAATTGGCGAGACTGGCTCGGAGGGAGGCTTCGTTGTCGTAGTCACCCGCCATCACATCAGCACCCAGGGCGCGCAGGTGCTGTGACTTTGTGGAGAGCGGGGTGCGGGTGACGGTGTGTACTTTGATGCCATTTTCATGGAGGTACTTTGCTATGGCACCGCCTTGGGTGCCGGTTGCGCCACAGACGAAGACGGACATGTTGAGTGGTGGTTTGGGTGATGAGTTTGGTTTGAGAGTGACTGGAGAGGTAGGCAGCAAAGACGGTATATTGATAAACTGTAAGATAAAGATAATGTTGATGAGTACGTTAAAATGTAGAGGACATTATGGCTATTTATATAGGCGAGCATTGGGATATTGTGGAGGGAGAGTAAGTACTTAGTGTTACTTAGTACTAGTAGTATACGAAGTTCACCGCGGCGTTCCACTTCCTGGGCCAAGTATGATTGGTTGAGCTAAAGTAGCGGGCGGAACTCCGCCGCCCCACTGATTGTTTCCTCCGCAGCCATCTTACGTTGGGGTTTTCACTGTCCACACAGGTCTCCAATTATTTGCAGCCTCGCAATTCTTTGATCAATTGGGACCCATGAACTCAGCAGCAGAGCGTACCAACGCCCCACCGCGGCGGAAATCCTGCGAGGCCTGCAAGATAGCCAAGCGACGCTGTGATCTTGCCTGGCCAGCTTGCTTCCGATGTGCCCGCCGCAATCAGATCTGTGTCTATCCTGGTAGACAACCACAAAGCATGGACATGGAGGCAGCATCGCTTGCAGTAAACCTCTTGGAAGATCCTCTGTTTCCAGCCTTTGCCGAAACCCAGTGTGTGACCGATATCAACACGCACTTCCCAGATGTAGAGCAGTTGTCTTGTGCCCTCGAGCTTCCGAGCCCCGGAACCGAAGCTGCCAATCTACTGGCCCAAATCCCGCCTCTACAACCTCCTATGATGTCGCTACCACATGAAAATCCAAGTACCACTGTGATCAAAACAAGGTCTGCGCTGCCCATATCGACAATAGTCGCGCAACGCCTACAGTTCGGCATGGATGTGCTGAAACAAGCACCCAAAATGATGGTCCTCGAAAGCCAGACGCCCTGGTGTCATCGCCAATTGTACAAGGACGGCATGCCCAGGTCAATGCAAGGTACGTTTATTGCATTCCATCTCAACTTTGTGCTAAACATTGCAGATGCCCTCGCCTGCTGCGCCCTCTACATGGCTCGAAATGATATCAATGCTCCTGTCATCCTCTCTTCCTTCAAAACCCGCATTGACGACTTGTGTGCATCACCGCCACCGAGCACGCCTCTCGAAGCACTTGCACACACCCAATCACTGATACTATATCAGATAATGCGCCTGTTCGACGGGGACATCAATGCCCGACTGTCCGCTGAGCCTTTTATTCCCATGCTGGAAACATCGGCCTTCAACCTTCTGAACTATATATACTTCCCAGCCGCAGAACCTGATACTGCTCTTACCGCGCCCATGGATGTCGTAATGCAGTCCTGGGATGAGTGGGTATACCAGGAATCTGCGCGTCGCACCGCCCTTTTCACGTTTTATCTGGTGCAAATATACCGTTTAGTGACGGGCGAGAACAACCTCACCTGCGACGGCCGTCTGGGTCTCAACCACTCATGGTACCTATCCGCACCCCTGTGGAATGCGCAGACTTCATTCGACTTTGCCGTTGCATGGAACGAGCATCAGCATTTTGTGGTCTGCAATGCAGATTTTGGCCATGTGCTTGATTGCGCGCGACCGTCTGATGTGGACGTTTTTGGACGGATGCTCCTCAGTACGCTTTTAGGAATTGATCAGGCTAAGGCTTGGTTTTATTCCAGAGGAGCTATTTTATAAGACCCAATCTTGAAGCTTTCACTGCACATGTTGCTGTGATATTTATCTTCACCAATGGTGTGTGGACGACGACCTCGATCTTCACAGAGCACAAAGACTCTGTCCCCCATGCGGTATCATACCGCCCAGCGACCGGTCCATATATTACACTCCGTCTTCCTCTCTGTGCCTCGTCTTCCGAGTATACAACCTGCTCAATGAAAGAGGTGTTGGCTATACTTTGGAATGGCACTCTGTTTTCCTGACTCTTGCTCATTTAGCCTCTTCACCAGAGGGCGATGACATCCTCATTAACTGGTTCTGTTCGACTTTTCTTTGCCTGTGGCCTTTCTATCAGTTCACCCGCTCATTTTATCAAAGAGGCGACGTGTATCAAAGGCAGTGGAAGAAGAGGCTTTGTGATACTGGAGAGCTATGCATGCAAGAATGGATGTGAGCATATAGAACAACCTGACTAATTGACAAGACATCGATGCCTTGAACGAGTTATAGCGCTTGACAATCCGGCCAGTCTTCATCGCACCTTCTTCAACAAAATAACGAAATCGGCAATTCAACAGGGCAAACTTCGAGCTATTACATCATAACTGGCTTCTTCACCACCAATCTGTCGGCAGAGCGTGATCCGGCCTTCCTCATTGAGGAGAGCAGACAGGGCCTAGTAATAAGACGTGAGCCATTAGTACACGCCACCGGTGCCCCTCCATGTTAGCTTGATCTAGCCTCCTAGCTAGTTATTTTCTCTTATCAATAAATTGATGTTGCTTGTTTGTGTGACCACAATGCAACCTTCTTATCTATGGGGCATTTTCAGATCTCCGCCTAAATTTACGCTGGCTGCGTCTAGTTGTATCTACATAAGCCCCCTTTAGTATATACCCTCACAGTAAGGAGTCCGTTGGTTGCATTATGAAGGTCTAGACCGGATGTCCACGCGATGTCGTTATATGATCCCTGCCGGTCTCCCTTATGTCGAGTAGATAATTCGCCAGTAATCTTTGATTAATTTCGGCTCGACTTTCCCGGTGATGGTTAGACACTTATCATGTGCTTTATACATGGTACTAAATTAGCTCACCGATAAGACAGCATTGGCACAAGGCTGACAGATAAACCCAGAACAAATATTTGTCGTTGGCCTTGTTTCGCTCTCTCTTCCTATCGAAAATCCGGCAGTTTCTCAATTTCTCATCCTCATTGCAATGTGTATCAAATCATCACCTGGACAAAAACATTATCTGTTACTGTTACCTGCAGAGATCCGACTCTTAATTTACCAAGCAGTATTCGAAAACCATGTCTGCGCTATTGAACGAAAGCCGATTACAGTTCAGTGTAAAATCTCGAAGTGCTCCTTGAAGATACAGCAAAACCCCATGCGGCATCATTCATCAGTCATACCCGCAACCTGCAATCACCCAGAATGTGTGACAACACAGCAAAAGATTCTTCAATCTGATCAGTACACTGGTATCGCGCCTCAAATTGGGTCTCAAGACTATCCTCGGCCGCAGGACCTTGCGAATAATTCTATGAATCTTTCTTTCCTTCGCACCTGCCGTCAGATCTACTATGAAGCCCGACATTTACCCTATATGCGCACTATTTTCTTCACCCAGCAAGTTGGGACTTTCTCCAATTTTTCTTTTTGTTTACGACGCTGGCAAGTTCAATCAATACAATATCTTAAGATACGTGTTCCACCTCGGCAAGGCATGGATACACACCTCGCTGAATGGAATGAGACTTTCTCGTTGATCAGTCTCGGTTTCCCCAATCTCGCTGCCATCTCTATCCAGATTTATCTTCATTTTCCTGTGCAGGCTGTACGAGACACTTTTTGGGATGGAGGCCTTCTCGAGCTCTGTCGCCTGAAGCGTCTCCGGGGGGTGAGGCTCTCCATCTCCGAATTTGATCCTGCATGGCCAGCCACCAGAGACCCCGTCGTCTTCTTCACATACGCGGCCGGCTCATTGCCTGATTTCATGGATGAGATCACAGACAGGAACAAACAACTGCCATCCCTCCTGCAATCGTCATTGCCATCCCATCAGACACCAAAACACATCTGTTTCCGCGATGCGCGCGACAAACTCAGGCATCGGGTTCAACAAGACACGTCCATTGGTGTGGAGTGGGCATCCCCTGACTCCTACCACAGTGGCCAGCTCTTCTTCCGCTTTGCTCCCAATACTTTCCCGCTCTACGTCCGCAACCTGATCCACACCCTCCCCCGCCGGTGGCCGCATCGAACCCACGCGCACATCCGGCGCGAGGATCGCTTGCATAGAAATAAAACCGACTACGCGTACGTCTACATCGACAGCGCGTCGCATCCGGAGGACAATCAATACCCAATCTTCGGGTTCCAATACAACCCCAATCTGAGGCGCCAGCATAACGAGGAGTACATTGCACAAGGACTAGCAGCATTGCGGCTATCCCGCGAGCGGCTTTGGCGTTCTGTTGCTTCTGCTCCTTATCCCCGGCATCGACAGCGAGAGGATGGCGACCCCCGACCATCATCGCAATCATCTAGGAACCAGGAGCGAAAGGAAGAGCCTTGTCATCAAGCATCCAAGGTTATGGTACCAGCTCCTCGATGCTGGGCCAGTCCAGGTTTTCAAGTTTCCCCTAGTCGTCGAGCGGTGATCTCCGCAGAGAATGAAAGACCCGGCGACTGGAGACGGCAACTCACAGAGGAGGCATTTGCGCCATTTATTGAATCTTTTCCTATGGTACTTCGATGACATCTTGAATCGGCTCGATATCAGGGGACCTCATACCCCCATCTCGGACCTTTCTTGATCTTCTGAGTTTTTCTTTTAGTTATTATTTCTTGCAAGGATGGGAGGGGAGGTGGCACTAAAAGATAGGAGATATTAGCGGGGATGAGAAGTGCAGGTTACATGTGACATGGTTTCTTATTAGTCATGTAGGCTACTAGATTCTGTGATTCAACCGGCCTTGAGCTAGTAAGATGGAGTTGTGTACATTTCGTCTTTCATAACAAAGAACTTGTGTGTCACATTTCTAATGTTGACTTCCCCAAGATCAAATTGAGTTTACAAAGAGCGCATGTCAATACCATGCAAACCTTGGAACATTAAGATATACAATCTTGATGTAAGATCACTATTCTATTGGAAATAAAGTGCAGGCATGTTCCACCGAAGGATAATGGCACTGGCAGTTTGAGTGGAGCAAAAATCTGGTAGGCTTTTACCGAATCTTCATATGAAGCATTTCTTGAATAAATGTCTATGATGTCGGAGAGTGGGTTGACACTGGTTAACGACTTGGCAGAATTCCCTACCATCCTGCATATGTTCTCGATTGGTCCGATTGGGACTGTTTAATATCGGCGACCCGCCCTTGGCTTCTACTATCATCGTATTCTCGCCATGAATGCATCTTGCGCCTCGGATAATATGTTTTCCATCATCGCCTCATGAACGATAGGACTTTCTAAACAGCCATGTTTGGCTCGTGCTTTTTGAAATGAAACCTTTCAGAAATTCTGGGGATTGACGAGTCAATTGCACCATATGCAAGATAAAATTCAAAGTTCGAACTGGAGAATCCGTGAGGGGTAAAGCGGCTAGTCCTCCGAAGCGGATTAGTGATGTCTTAGTGTTGGAAAGGTTTTGCATAGAGGGTGGGGTTGCGCGGCCGGGAAATTCCCTCGGAGGCAATCAGTTCCTTCCATCTTATCTGATCATCTGATTATCTCTACCCCCCTCCCCCCGGTCCTTTTCTTGAACGTTTTTGAACATCTCAAGAACTCAGAGGGGCCTTACTTACTTCATACTCAGTTCATACATTACCCCCATCGCCAATCGATTACTCGCGTCTTCATGGCCAGCGAAGGCCTTCCGAAGACTTCGGATCTGTCCGATCCCGAGACCCAATACATTTTAGAGGGCAATGCCAGATTTCGCCGGCTAGGATGGAAGCGCCTCACGGTTATTTCCATTGTGGAGGCTATTGCCCTCGGGAGCTTGGGCCTGCCTTCTGCCTTCGCTACGTTGGGGATGGTTGCCGGTGTCATTCTCACAATTGGTATCGGACTCGTAGCGATGTATGCGGGCTATAACATTGGACAAGTGAAACTAAAGTACCCCGAGGTTGGGCACTACGCGGATGTCGGTCACCTTTTGCTGGGAAATGTGGGAGGCAAGATCTTCGTTGGCAGCTTTGTCGCCCTATTGGTCTTTGTCATTGGGTCTCACTGCTTGACCGGCGCAATTGCGTTCCAGACCATCACTGAAAGCAGCGTGTGTTCGGTGGTCTTCAGTATTGTCTCCGCTGCCATTCTGATGATCCTCGCCATTCCTCCATCCTTTGCTGAGATTGCAATACTCGGTTATATCGATTTCGCTTCAATTATCTTGGCCATCGGAGTCACGGTGATTGCAACGGGCATTCAAAGTCACAGTTCCACTGGTACCTTCTCCGCTGATCATATCCCGTGGTCTGCGTGGCCCATAGCTGGGATCACTTTCTCGCAAGCAATTGTCGCCGCGAACAACATTGTCTTCGCTTATTCTTTCGCTGGATGCTTGCCTTCCTTCATGGAAGACATGCATACTCCGGAGGATTACGTCAAGACCCTCTGGTGGCTAGGAGGCATTCAAATCGTCATCTACACGTTGACAGGGTCGCTTATCTACGCTTTTGTGGGCCAGGGCGTGCAATCTCCTGCCCTACTATCAGCCGGACCTGTCATTTCAAGAGTGGTTTTCGGCATAGCTCTTCCAGTCATCTTCATCTCCGGCTCTATTAACGTGACGGTCGTCTGCAGATACATTCACGGAAAGTTCTATCATGACTCAGCCGCCCGCTTTATCAACACCCGAAAGGGCTGGATGACTTGGTTGGGTCTCATATCCCTTGTTACTGTTCTCGCTTGGGTCATTGCCGAGGCTATTCCGATTTTCTCGGAGCTACTGTCCATCATCTCGGCACTTTTTGTGTCCGGTCTCTCGTTTTACATTCCTCCAGTGATGTGGTTTGTACTTTTGAGGGATGGGGCTTGGTATGAGAAACACAATTTACGGCCTGCGTTGTGTAACTTGGTGGTCTTTATTGTCGGTATGATTGTTTTCGGTTGCGGTACTTATTCGAGTATTGCGGAGCTGGTAGGTGGTTTCTATATGGATACTAGGAAGATCATAGGCTAACGTGGGTTATTATAGGTTAACGAGTTTCGGTCGGGGGAGATAAGTAAACCTTTTACGTGTTAAGAGGTTAAGCTTATGATATGATTATGCGTGCAATGTACACTGGGGGACTCATGATGCTATCAAATCAATCTGGCCGGGTACCTATGTTGTCTATTTATTGTGTTGAGAGAAAATAGAATAGACGGTTGACACAAAGGCATTGTGTGTATATATTACCTGTCAATATACATCCGCTATAAATGTCCCCTTGGAGGGGAGGAATTGGCTTTGTAGTTGCCATAAGCTATGTGATTTGAACCCCCACCAAATCAAAGGAAGAGGCATAATACTTTATCCATCAGGATGCCAATAAATAATTGTGCGTATGAGAATAAATGTCGGCCGAGCGGGACTGACAGGTTATCCTGCCCGCGGGAAAGGGAATCCTTGACTCCTTTGTAGGAGTTTTGTTTATGGGTGATATCTAACAGGTATCGTATCTTTTCAAACTTCAGCTAGCTTGGAGGAAACAAATAAAATAACATAACAATAGTGCCAATATTAAGGAAAGCTTGCTTATGCACACCCGGACACAGTTATATGCAATGTGCAGCCTTAGCGATGAGGCATCGAGCGGCTTGGATAGACACAACCGAAAGAAATCGAAAGAATTGGCAATAGGTATTCCTGATTATTTGGAGTTGTAGCCTGAAATACCGAATGCTCATGGATGCCTGATTCCTTCATGGCTAATGATTTCCTAATTCCAGGTTGTATTGCCTACGGTCGCTCTATCGGACAATTCGGGCGAATCTCCGACCGGATGGATGGACGTTGAGCAGACAACACAACTTCAGCCTCATGCGCCCCACGAGACATGAGGATAATTCCATTGCCGAGCCAAGCATCCTCACAGTCATAGTTGACGGAGAATCCTACTGGACATGTTTCACCAACGGTCCAGTTAGATGCAAGACTGCTTATGCACTAAGCACGTTGAAGCAGGCATCACCGCGACCCCTGCAGGCAGCATCCATCACCAAAGGCCTCGGTCAGGGTCCAAAGCAAATAGTTGCTTCCCTTCCATGATGGCCATCTCCCCAAACCCTCCCACTAAATCATGGGGCGTCGGTAAAGGAGAAGTTTCCTCTGCCAGCCAAAATTGACGGATCGAGCCGTCGTATCCGCCCCATCCAAATTAAACGGACCACCAATACGCGCTGGTCCCTGAACGGCCCCCACGAGCTTCAGTATGGGTCTTTTGCCTATTCAGGCACAACTGGATTATGATGGAGTGATGCTAACAGAATCAGGGAATTTGTTCTAGAGTCGCATTTTTGAGAGCGATTTTCGGCCAATTCTACCGATCGTGAGCATGTTGTGCCACGAGCATAGTATAAATATGGCCGTCTGACCCGTCGAGGTTTACTTGTATTCCAGGCTTAGATCTCCAGAACACAAGTATCCGCATCATCATCATGATTCCCGCTATCCTGACCGGAGTTTCCATGCTCGCAGGCTCTGCCTACGCTTCGGCCGTGCAACCCGTTCGCGCCACCGGAGGATGCACCAACATCAATTCGTACGCCCCGGAGACTGGAACCACCGGCTACTTCATGCTTGCTGCCACCGACTGCAAGAACGTTACCGCGCCGGATCAGGCTTGCCCTATTGAGGGATTTGGTGATACCAGCGTTGTCTTCCGCACTGCTGGAGAGACTGGTATCCATATGGGATATGTATGCTCATTACCCCTTTTGATCATCAAGTAGTTCGCTACTAGTATTGACGAATGAATTATTAGATCGCCATCGGCTCCGAAAACGACGAGGCCAAGAACCCCATCATCTGCGATGACTCCTCTCCTTCTATCCTCAACGGCCTTGTCGAGACCGGCGTGAGCGGATACAGCTTCCAGCCATTGAACATCAGTTCTATCCCCTATACCGCGCTCTTGATGTGGGGATTGGACGAGCAGGCGTCCGTCCCAGTCGACTTTTACCACCACTATGTGAACGGCACGCAGCAGGACGGCCTGTTTATTGGCGCCAACAATGTCACTACTTGGGCTATCAAGGAGTACTCTGATTCTGGATCGAAGCTGCCGTACTGGTTGTTCCGTCTGTTGGGGCCCGATAGTGAGGATCCTATCACTGGTGCGGCATTAGAGGAGGGGGAGTTGGTTACCTATATTAAGGTTAGGTATTAGTTGGGAGGAATCCAGATCTGTGCCTGCAGAACACGGGTTAATTGTTGGATGGGATTTGAGTTCCCTGCTCTATTAGTGGACAGGAGAGTTACCTCCCGCAGACGGGTCAATCAATATGTTGAACAGACACCCACCAGTTTCTCAATTAGAGTTTGCTTTTCTTTCCCAAAATACTTCTGGCCATGTAGATCAATAGTGGAGCAGACACATCGCATGCGGGATTGCATCACGCATGAACAAGTTCTCGATCTCGTGGTTGACACCTGCGGCAATCGATCGATCGGAGTTCGCATCTACGCCGCGGCGGTTCTTTTCGATCGCTTCACATCGCGATGAGAGGTTGCCTTTTCCTACCTGTCTTCAGGGGATAATCTCG